TAAACCTCTTCCTGTTTCCTTTCAGGTTCCGCCTCTCTTTGCCAGAGAACAGCCATAGAGACGTTAAGGTAGGAATGCTAGCTCTCAGGGTGCCCCAAAAAAGGCACAAGAAACAGAATTCCGTGTGTGTAGTTTTCTGTGTCTCTGAGTCCTTGATTTCCCCATAGTTTTAGCTCTGAATTTTTTTCTTGTTCATGTGTTTGGTTGATTTTGAAGTATGGGGGATTGAACCTGAGGCCTTCCTGGTATTCATTTATCAAGCCCATTAGCTTAGCAATAGACTTTGAAAAGAATTGGAAAGACTGTGTGTGATACTAGAAAAATAGGCATTTCCGTGGGGCGGTTTGTCTCCTGGATGTAATGATCATGGAGAGTTAAATTTAAGTTTCAGAGTTCACAATCAAGTTCATTCTTCAAAGGCATCCAACCCATGTCCAGCTTGAGAGTAGACATGTTGTCTTAGCTCCTTTCTGATGCTGTGATGAAACACCATGGCCAAAGGAAACTTACAGAAGAAAGGTTCTTTGGGCCTATAGTTCCAGAGCGGGAATTCCATAATGACAGGGATGCCATGGTCTGGTAGCAGGAGCAGGAAGTGGCCAATACCACTTTCCATACCACACAGGAAGTAGAGCAAGTAGGCAAGAAGTAGGGTGAAGCTATAAACTCTCAAAACCTGCCCCCGGGGACGTACTTCCTCCAGCAAGGCCAAAAGGGTTCCATAACCTCCAAACAGCACCAATTAGGGACCAGGTATTCAAATACATGAGCCTATGAGAGACATCTCTCATTTAAATCCCTGCACACCAGCAAGTAACTTGGAATGTCCATACTTCTAGATGTCAAAGATGTCAGCCAATCCATGACTTTCTTTGTTCACAAATGGTCCTACCATAGAATGTGGAAGCACATGTGTTGGAATTCAGGGTTAGAACTCCACCTAGCTTGTGCTCAGCTATATATAAACATTCACTCTTAATGTCATTCTTTTATTTACAGCGTCTTACTGAGCAATGTTCAAGACAAATGTTCACCTTTATGGCATTCACATTCTTGGCAGTGATTCTCCACTGGGGTCCCCCTAGTCCTTTAGGGACTTCTGCTATCATGACCTGCAATGGGGAGAAGGGTGATGTAGGGACAGATGTCAGAGGATTTTCTAAGCTTCCCATAGCATACCAGCCAGACCCCAGACAAACAAGCCAAAAACATCCCAAAATATCAATAGTTGGAACTCAGTTTTAGAATATATGAGAATATGTGTATGCTTTTGCAAAACCAGTTGAAGTCCAAGTAGAGAACAAATATACAGTGTATGTACTGGGAAAAAAAAAGAGCAGGCAATTGGAGCAGGTGTGCAGCCAGGGATCACGGGCATGGTTGAGAGGCTCTGCTGAAGCGCAGTTCACTCAGCACATCTACAGCATGGTAGGTGGCAGGTAGTTAGTAAATGATGGCCACTGTTCCTGCACTACGATAACTGATGCATTTGTCTGTATAAATAGAGAATACACGTAATAGTTCATACATTAACGCTGAGGCCAAACTGCAACAGTGAAGTCCCACTTCCTGGCTGTATGTCACTTATCCTTTTATGAGGTAGTGCATGGCAGTTATAGGGACTGAGTTAATTGTTGCCACATCCAACAGAAAGGTGGCAGTAAGGCAGGACCAGGCCTGGGAATGTTAGTCAAGTCAGCAAATCTAGCTAAGGCTAAAATAGATGTTTCATTTCAGGGAGAATTCTGAGATTAGGAGTCAGGGGCAACACACATAGTCCATATGTAATTTAAGACATACCTTTCATGCCAGCCTCTGAGGTCTGAAACGTCAGTATCAAAGCTGAGTGTGGTGATGCACATCCAGAATCCCAGCAAAATGCCCACTGTTGACAACACCATGTGCTGACCATAGCATTTCAGAAAAAATGGCAATAGTTTATGCCTAGAATTTGCATAGTATTAACCCAATTCTGATAACCACCTATGAGAAGCTGCTGCTGCTAATGATGGCAGTGGTGGTGACGATGATGGTGATGACGATGATGGTGGTGATGATGATGGTGGTGATGATGATGGTGGTGACAATGATGGTGGTGATGATGATGGCGGTGACAATGATGGCGGTGACAATGACGGTGGTGACAATAGTGGTGGTGATGATGATGGCAGTGATGATGATGGTGGGGATGATGACGGTGGTGATAATGATGGTGGTGATGGTCATGATGATGATGACAGCCGATTATTATTGTTTGCATCTTATAGCTGTTGGAATTGAGGCACTGGAAGATTGAATAACTCTTCCAATACAACAAAATAATTCGAGAAAAATAAAACAAAAGAGATAAGCCTAGACAGATTGCTTCAAGATTTCCAAAAAGTTTTCACTGATGCAGGTGTGATGGCAAACATTTGTGATCCCAGCATTAGGAAAGTCTAAATCAATAAGAACATGAGTTCAGAGCCAGCCTAGGCTACATAAGGACTCCCAAGTTTAAGTTTGAGGTTTATAGTGAGACCGTATTCCAGCAAACAAGAAAGTATTTACTAAATGAGTTGCTGTTTATCTAGGTCCATTCACTTTTTCAAGATTTATTTGTGTGTGTGTGTGTGTGTGTGTGTGTTTCTCTGTGAGTGTTGCACCCACAAAGTCCAGAAGAGGGTATCATATCTCCTGGAATTGCAGGCAGTTGTGAACTACCTGATATGGGTGTTGGGAACTGAACTTCTGTCCTCGGAAAGAACAATGCGCTCTTAACTACTGAGCCACCTCTTCCACCCCCATTTACTTTTAATACCTGGGTCTTTGCAGAAAGCAACACTGCCTAGGTTATCCAAATGCCCGTTTATTAAAGATAAAGTGGGGATTCCGGTGGTGCTGTCAGTGCAAAGGGAGGACCTCGTGGCGAGGTTCCCAGAAACACAGGGAAGGCTGATGTCTGAATGACACTTTAGTGCTCCATAGTTTACTTGGTCTGTACCGAAATGAGTACATTTGCTTCTGTCCTGGGTCTCTGTTCATTATCACCAGTGTTAAAGGAAACAGAAGGCCCTCCCACCAGGGAGGAAAGAACCTGCCTGGCATGGCTTTCCACAAAGCTAGCACACATGCACAGGGAAACTCTATAGTCGTGGCTTTCTATCCAGCTGAGTTCTGGTGATGTGCACACCCAAAGCACGGATGATGCTTTTGGGGAACCTTGATTGGGCAACTGATGAAGTTGCCTTTTTCATTTTAGGTCGTGAGATTTGAGAATATCCTGTCCTCCATTCTTCACTTTGGAGTCCTTCCATTGGCCAACAGTAAGGAATTCTTTACAAAACAGTGGGACTCTGGGCACTTTTGGTTTTGTTTGGTCTTTCTACCCTGATGCCTGTATGTTTAGAGTGCTATTGTGAATTCGGGTCAGAGCCAGAAGTTTGCAGTAACAGCATTAAGAGCTGAAAAAACCAGTTAACAGGTTTATACTTGCTAACAACACTATTTACACACTCAGCAAGAAAGGCGAACTTGGCTTTAGTTAAAGAGATAAAACTTCTGTTCTTAGACAGTTAAGTCTCCCTAAGGTCAATTGAAATGATATTATACTCCCTAGGAGTACTGTCTAGAAAGACACGGTTTTAATGGGTGACAATCCTGGTGTTCTCTCTCATCTACAATGACAAACGAAAGCATTTGGAGTTCAGCTCAGTTAAAATAATTTTATAATAGACACAAAACGTCCCCAAGTCCACGAATTAGGAGTTTTCAAAATATAAATGGGAGGGGCTGGATTGATAGTTAAGTTGGTAAAATGTTTGTCTTGAAAGCACAAAGACTCGAATTCAATCTTCCAGGAACCTCTCCCTTCGAATTTTTTTTAATGTTGGATACAATGGTACATACTTACAATCTCAGTACTGATGGAGGCAGAGACAGGTGGATCCCTGGGGCTCACTGCCAACCTCGCCTACTTGGGAGTTTCAGGTCAATGAGAGACCCTATCTCAAGAGCAATAATAACCAAGGCAGTGGATAAAAGTGAGGAATGACACCGAGGTTATCCTCTGTCCTCCACACACACTGAACACACCACACACAAACACACACACATACATACACAATATACCCCACTGTTATAAGTATGTATATATGGATATGTATATATGTAAATATATACATACATATCTTTTATGGCTATGTAGAAAATGAAAAGCATAGTCAGGAGTGGTTAGTACTTAAATGGGATAAAATGGGAAGTGTTTGTTTTGTTTAGTGTCCAAATATACATAATTACATGTACATTTTTTACTGAATATAAATTCATTACTAATTCATCCAGCAAAATGCTAGGGACATATCACTGTGAATTAAAACAAGACCAGGAACAATGGTAAGATAAACTATTAAAATGCTTTTAGTTCATCTCTCTCTAAAATGCCTGCCAAAAATACAGTGCCCCAAGCCAAATTACCTTGCACCTTTTTCTACATTGTAGCAAAACTGCAGCGAGGGTTTCCTCTCCCCAACCCCTACAACATCTCATTCCTCAACTCAGACATTGAAGTTCTCGAGGTAAGAGTGTGAACCTCCTCTCTGCTGTGGACTTTCACAGCAGAACAAGCAACCTGCTGTCTTCATTACTTACCTTTTTAAGGATTTACTTTATTTCACGTGGATATGTGTGTGCGTGAGTGTGTGTATGCATGCCCTATTCATTCTGGTTCCACATCGGATCCCCTGGAACTGCAGTGACAATCACGAGTCCCACCATGTAGGAACAGGAGCCAAACCCAGGTCCTCTCTAAGAACATGAGTTCTCTCGCCCACACAGCCATCTCCCCATATCCTCATTGTGTTTTACTTTTGCTTTCCTTCAACTTTTTACCAGTCCAAGAAGTTTTACAAACAGAGCCACCCAGCTACTAAAGCTTATAATTAACAAAGAAAAATTTAAAAGTCAGACCAAGTCTAATTTCACTTTGAAGTCACATTTAATCACGTCACGGTATAAGAAAATACATTAAAAGTATTTTTATTTCACCAGACAAGCTGTAAGGCTGACATCATTAATGCCATTTTTCTGAGGAAAGTAGACCCAAAGAAGTTTAGAAAGGAAAATGGCTGGTATATTAGTTACTTCTCTTGTTGTGTAACTAAAGGCCTGACAGGATACAACTCAATAGAGAAAGGGCTTGTTTGGGCTTACAGATGGAAGGGACACAGTCCACTACATCATGGAAAGGTGTGGCAACAGAAATATGACAGACCTGGTCACATTTCCAGGAAGTCAGGAAGCAGTGTCCCAAGCCTTTAATAAAACCTCAAGACATGTTCCGCTGGCCCACTTTCTCCTCAAGATTTCACCTCCTAGGTTCCACAACCTTCCAAAGCAATGTTGCTAGCTGGTGACCAAGTTTCTAAACACATGAGGCTAAGGGTGTTTTACATTGAAACCAGCACAATCAAGAACCCTGTTGAGCCGGGCGGTGGTGGCACACGCCTTTAAGCCCAGCACTCGGGAGGCAGAGGCAGGCGGATCTCTGTGAGTTCGAGGCTAGGCTGGAACGACAGCCTCCAAAACAATACAGAGAAACCCTGTCTCGTAAAAACAAAAAACAAAAAACAAAAAACAAACAAAAAAAAGCACCCTGTTGATTGGGTCTTACAGTCTCAGCCGTTCTCAGGATGGAGCCCTAGTGAACGCTGTTTCCTGGGAGGCTGTTACTCAGTAACTTCACCAGTAGCTGCCCCTTCTTTTCCTCATTTTGTTGTGGTTGCTGTTTGGAAAGCATAAACAACTTTCAGAAAGCGTGGCCTGCCTACCCACTACTCCACGGTTCCTCTCACCCCCAGCCTTCCTCCTCTCCACTCCCCATTTCCTAGGTCATATCTAGGGGCAATGATCCAAAATGGCCTCTTCTTGCATCAGGGGCCTTCACATAGTGTACAGGGGCTGGGAAAGGCTTGGTGCCTTGGAGCCTGGCAAAGAAGCGTTCCTTCCCCGAGGCAAACCCAGATATGCCCTTAATTTAATATTATCTTCATTCCGCATGCTTTTCAAGGGTTTCCTTCTGATTTCTACTGACCTGGCGCATGAGACACCCTCAAGACAACAGCCAAATCTCCACAGCTGGGGAGGTCTGCACCTGGTCGATGGGCCATGGAGAGAACAGCCAAACCATTGATTGCTGGGTTCCATCCACCCCAGGAAGCAAACAGCCTTCCGCCCCACAGAAACTGTACCCCTGGAGGATGAAGGCCATGCACCCTGGACGTTATTGCCCTGTGAAGCACGTCTCTCTAGAGCCCTGAGAGACCTAGAATGAGGCTGACTGAGATAAGGGGCTACAAGGGACCAGGCATGGGAGCGGGACGTATGTATGTCAGTATATGTAAGCATGTGAGTGTTTATAATCTGTGGGTAAGAACGAGGCAGGTCAGTCCGCCCAGGTGGGTGAGGAACTTGACTGCTTGTCTGTATCTGCACTGGCAGGGGTGTGTGTGTGGGCGTGTGAGTACGTGCGTGTGTGTGCCTGTGTGTGTGTGTGTGTGCCTGTGTGTGTGTGTGTGTGTGTTTGTGTGTGTGTGCTCTTTGGAGACTCTTCTTATTTGAACTTTGTGTTTTAGGTTTACTAGTACTACCCTGTGGTTAATTAAGATTGTTCTCTATCAGCGTCGGGCTCTGTGTGTGAAAGCTCCTGTCCTGAGTTTATTTTCATAAAACATGACAGAAAATGGAAAAGACTTAATTTTTTAACTTTAGCCAAGACTGATGTTCTACAAATATCAATATTAAAAATATTAACACTGAATCTTAAATCTTCCTGTGGTCATCCTGTGTCATTTGTTCATTTAAGTTTGAGGATCTGAACAAGGATTGAACAGAAAATGGCAGTTCAGCTTTCCAAACGCAGACAGTTCACAGCTGGTGTGAGTGTTATTAGTCAGTTGGGCGAGACTGGACAGGGGAACAGGATGGGATGGCCAGGATGGATATGTAAAAATGATCAGAAACCACACCTCTGCTCGTACATCACTTAGGTTATTGGGGGAATGGGGAAGAACTGTTTAAGTGCTGAAAGCCTGGCCTGGTTACTCCTCCAGCTCCATTCCTGTGACCGTCGCAGCCACTCTAGGAAGAATTATGATCCCATTGCATTTACGACATAGGTGGACAGAAAGCCCAAGTTTAGTTTGCTACCGTGCTTTTCTTCACAGGAAACAGGACTAGGAACAAATGAACGCAAGCTCTCTTCTTGCAACGGAATCAATTGCCTTAAAGGCAAACCACAGAGGGATTACTCCAAACAAAGCCAGGCTAAGAGACCGCAATGGTTCACAGCAATTGCAATTTATTCGCCTTTGCTGGCGTTGCTGGCCATACCAGATGCCTCCCTACGCGTTTGTAGAAATAAATGATCTGCTATAGTCATATGCTTCTTTGGAAAGCTCTTTTTGTATCAGAAAGTGTTTTTCTGTGCCCACGATTCCATTTTGAAACGTTACACTGGCAAATGTGCTGTTCGCTAGTATTTTATCTTGCTCAGCTGCTTTACTAATGGGGCTTCGAACTCCAAGCTATATATTCTCTAGAGCAGTTGACCTGGTCCAGATTCAAGGGTTTTCGGGAGCGGCTTAAAAGCATTCCCAGACAGCCCCAGCCGGGGTCACAGCAAGTAGATCTCTGAGAGTTCGAGGCCAGCTCGTTCCAAAGAGTCATAGGGCGGTCCAGGCTCACCCGGGCTGAACAGCCAGACCTTACCTTGGGGGGGGGGGGACGGATATACGAGAAAAGCCGTTTAGTTAGATCTCACCAAAACCGAGTTTGGTTTGGCGTTGGCTCATAGAAGGCATCACAACCAGACGGCCACGACTCGCGCGACGAGTTTTGAGCCTCGGCGCTTGCCTTCTTCCCTCCCGCGGCGGAGCGGGCCGCGCCTGCGCCGAGTCCTCGGAGGCGGCTCCGCGCAGCGGCGGCCTCTCTTTCCGAGCCGGGTCGGGGGCTCCCGCCAGCTTCGCCGCAGCCATGAGCCGCAGCTACAACGATGAGCTGCAGTTCTTGGACAAGATCAACAAGAACTGCTGGAGGATCAAGAAGGGCTTTGTGCCCAACATGCAGGTGAGGCGGGGGTGGGGGCAGCGGCCTGCGCGGTGCGGGCCGCGCTGCCGCCGCGAACCGGCCTCCTCCGCCCCGCGCCGGCCGGGCCGAACCCCGCGGGGTCGGCGTCTCCCTGCCCGGGCCCGGCCGCCGGCCCCCGGGCCCCGCGTGTCCCCTCCGGGCCCCATGTGCAGGCCGCTTGCCTCCGCCTGCACGACGAGGTCCGCCGAAGACGCGGGGGCCGGCGACCAGGGCCCGAAACCCGGGCCGCGCGCGCTCCTGGCGCGCTAGAGCAGGGGGAGAGAACGCGCGTGTTAAGTGACTCGGTTCCTTTCGTGCCAGCGGGAGTGCAGTAAAGGTCTGCGCTCCCTTGTCTTAGCAAACGTTTCTGACAGGCCTCGCGTAGTGGCCCAGGCCTGTGATCCCAGCCCTGGAGGCTGAGGCTAGAAGAAGATCCCGTTAGCAGACGCTACTGTGTTAGAGGATGCACACAGGGCCAGCCCGAGCAACTCATGTGAGACTCAGAAGTCACGAAATTTCCTTTCGATTGACACTGGACGAAGTTTATCTAATGTCTTTGAGCGCCACGTCACTTTGCGAGAGACTGAGAAGAAAAAACCCACAGCAATAAAACAATGGTGTTTCCCCTTTATTTTTGTGGAAGGAGGGGAGGTTGGTTAGTAGATTGACTTGCTAATTAGTTTTATTTGACACACGAAAATTAGTTAGGACACCATGTGGTTTTTCTTAGAATGTGTAAGTTGTAAAATTGCAAAATCATAATAGACATACCTCAGAAAGTTGTGAGCACTGAAGTAGCAGGTTGAATGTTTCTGTCATAAATGTTGAGAACCAGAGGTGGTGTAGGTTTTTAATTTTTTCTGATTTGGAGATAGTTGCAGAGATTTAACTGGTTGGACATTCCTAACTTGAACCCAGATCTGAGATGCTCTAAAATCTTTTGGTTTATGATTGGAAGTTTTTCTCTTATAAGAAATCATGTGGGCGTTTGATGCAGAGGAAAGCAATACAAACACTACATGGAGCCCATACATTCTGCCGCCTGCACCTGTACTCGGTGAACTTGCGTTTAAACACTTGCCTTTGCCTTTCTGTTTTATCAGGTTGAAGGAGTCTTTTATGTGAATGATGCTCTGGAAAAATTAATGTTTGAAGAATTAAGGAATGCCTGTCGAGGTGGTGGTAAGTACACCAGAGACTCGTTTATGCTTTGGGTAAAGCCTCCCTGTGCCTGAATAAAGAACTCAGCCAGTGTGGAGTATTTGCAAGGAATGATCAAAACTTGAATCAAAGCACCTATCTGTTTGTGATCACATTTAGCATGCTGCGGTGTTAAGGATTTGGAGCTCGGGGCTGGTCTGTTCTCACATAACCTCACAGTAATAGCCAGTGATAACTAAAAAGGAAGATATATATTGTCTATCTTTTGTAGATGTGCAAATTCAGTGAACTTAAGTGATGATTTTTTTGTTTTGTTTTTGTTTTTTGAGACAGGATTTCTTTGCATAATACTTCTGGCTATTCTGAAACTCGCTCTGTAGACCAGGCTGCCCCAAACTCACAGAGATCCGCCTGCCTCTGCCTCCTGAGTGCTGGGACTAAAGGCGTGCGCCACCACCACCCCCCAGCTCTTAAGTGATTTTTAATTGCCCTTGGTCACAACTTCATAGTGACAGAGCCAGAATTCAAATCTGAGTGCCTGATTTTAAAACCAGCATTCTCATTCTCTCTCTCTCTCTCTCTCTCTCTCTCTCTCTCTCTCTTTGCATTTATTAAGGACACTTTGTAAGTGATACTTGGGTAAGCGTATGCCGATGAGGTTCCATGTTACCATCTAACACAGATTGCTTACGTTTAGCTGCCAAGATTTATCTTGAGTGGACTCTGGGAGTGATCAATGATGGCCATGACAGGCACAGGACTGGAGTCTTTCGATGCTTTGTTTTTATCAGCACTCCTGATTTTATAAAGAATGAAGTATATTAACTCCATTCCTACCCAAACTTCCTGATAAGGATTTGAATTCTTAATAAGGGTATGAAGCATCTCAGTGGGATCCAGGCCAACTCTATTGCTGTACTAGCTGTAGTCGTTTCTGTGTTTCAGATGAACTAACAAGCTCCTTTCTCCCCTCACTTGAATGTGTTCACTGTGTTTAAGTAGCACTGCTAGAGGCTTGGATAGGACTCGGGGAGGGAAGTGCTGGCCATGTGAACATTAAGACCTGAGTTGGGATCCCTAGTGTAGAAGTCAGGTGCCACAGTACCTCTGTAACCCTACCACTTGCTGGGGAAGGACAGGCACATTGCAGAGCTTGCTGGCCAGTCAACCTAACCAGTAACTGAGGCCCAGATTCAGTCAGAGACCCTGTTTAAAAATAAGGTGAAGACTAGAGAGATGACTCAGTTGAAGAAGTGCTTGTCACAGCCCTCACCAGGTCCAGTTCCTAGACGCCATGCCAGAGTGAGAGAATAGAAGCAGCTCTGCAGAGCTGCCCTCTCACCGGGCTGTGCATGCACACACACCATGCATACGCTGAGACACACACACACACACACACACACACACCATGCATACGCTGAGTAGGTACAGTTTTTAAAAAGGGGGAGAGACATTGAGGAAGATACCTAATTTTGGCCTGTGGCCTCCACATACACACACTGGGCTGGGCGCACGCACACGCATCACACACACACACACTTGCAAAGGGGTGGGTGCCTGCTAGCAGCTGGCGAGTCTGGACTTGCTCTCCATCCGTCCTGATTCTCAGCCATTATTTTGTTTTCTCAGCTCTTTCCCCCATGGCCTTTCTTTGTCTTAGATTAACACTACTGCCAATTTGGGGTAGTTTTGTTTTGAAACCGTCTTGATCCCTTAAGACTGGAGTTACAGATGGTTATGAGCTGTCAGGTAGGTGCTAAGACTTGAACCTGGATCCTCTGCAAAAGCAGCCATTGTTGTAACCATGGAACAGTCTCTCCAGCACCACAGTATGAGTTCTTGAGAGAGTACATTTTATACGGCATCATAAAGGCTAATAGTTAATCTTTTTTATCCCTACTACATTTGCAGGCAGGCCAGCTTCTTGTGCTATACACAGAATGCTGACAAGCGTGTCTGGTTGTCCTGTCCCTCCTGGGAATGTGCTTCTATTCTAAGACTGAGGTTTTTTGCTTGTTTTTTTCAGGTGTTGGTGGCTTCCTGCCAGCCATGAAGCAGATTGGCAATGTGGCAGCCCTGCCTGGGATTGTTCATGTGAGTCAGTCAGAACCACAATCATTTATGTTGTGTAAAGTTTGTTGGATGAATGAAGGGCTCCACCTGATAGATGCTGGTGTCGTTTAGACTGTGACCTTTGACTGTATCAGTAAGCCTTAGACTTAAGAACTGAGTCTGGACAGCTCCTCCGTCTCTTGCGTTTGCAAACCTCTGGAGTGGCTTTTATGGAGAGATTTAAATCTTGCCATTGTGCGTCGTAGTCCCTCACCAGTGTACCATCCTAGGTTTCACTGTGATTCTGTCTAAAGGGTGACTGGAAAAGAAATGAAGAGAAGTTGGACTGAACAGAGTGAGGAGGAACCACCTAGTTAGCTGTTGTGGCAGTGTTGGAGCAATGACAGTCAGTAGGCTGGAACTGGATGGTGTGAGTGGACCTCCTCCAGCCTAGCTTGCAGACTCCCTTCAGAGTGGAGTGTTGACAAGCAGGAAGCTTCCCAGAGCTCGTTAACAGTGCTGTGTGCTGGGGGTGGGGGTGGTGATGACACGTGGCTTAAGTGTTTATGAACTCCTCTTTCTACTCGTCTCCGTGTCCTCACCATATTTGATGTCTTTTCTGTTTGGCATACCAGCCTTCACTCGGCCCCAGTGCGTGAAACGTACTGTGTTAATCTTGTCAAATAGATTTCACTTGTGAAGTTTCTCATGACCTTATAAACCATGCATAACTACAGTTTGCCAGTATCTTAAGACAATTTTTAAAAGTAACAGCACCTGTACTTAGTGTGTGGTTCTCTGGCAGCCCATTACTCTGCAGGTCTCTGTTGGTGGTTTGACTTTATGAAAGATGTTGTTGACTGTGTTCAGCTTTGGAACAGGGGTCCATAGATAATAGAGACTCAGAGTCAAGGTCAAGTCCATCAGACAGCCAGAGTGCAGAGGGAACAGCTGTACTTCATGTCTGCTTCTTTTCCAGAGGTCTATTGGGCTTCCTGACGTCCACTCGGGCTATGGGTTTGCCATCGGGAACATGGCTGCCTTCGATATGAACGACCCTGAAGCTGTGGTGTCCCCAGGTAAGGTGCGGTTACAGTGTGGCTTCTCTGTGTTGTGTGGCCTTTCTGAGACAGAGTGGATTAGTGTGCCTTTTTCAGCCTCATCATACCCAGTGGGTTCTCATGTTCTACATGAAGCTGGTATGGACAAAATATCAGTCAAACCACTCCGAAAACTTTGGGGATTTTTATCAGATGCCAGGGAACACCAGACATTGGCTGCAAAAGAAACATTTCTCTGGCAAATTTTCTTGGTGACTCAGTGCATAGGCAGATGTGTCTAATGTCCACTGAGCGTTACTGGAAGGAGTAAATGAACAGCTTGCCTCAGTGCTTCCTCACATCGTTTTTAACACAAGTATTTTTCATTAATTTGTAGGTTAGTGCATAGCGCGGCATGTTCACACAGGTGTCATTCTACATTGTTGTCATTCATTCCCTCCCCAGCTAGCCCTCCTCACTCCCCCAGTTGCTTCCCCTTCTTCCCCATGTCAGTCCACTCATCTGCTTCCCTCATTGCCACCTCCCTCAAGGTCTCTTCCTCCCCTCTCATGGTTCCCTTTCTATCTTCATGACCAACAGACGTGCGTAATACTCATAATTTTAAGTTAGATTCCACATGTGAAAGAAAACATTGGCTATCTGTTTTTCTGACTCTGGTTTATTCTGCTTAACAACAGTTTCCAGTTGCATTCATTTTCCTACAGATAGTATTTTCTTTATGGCAGAATAAAATTATTGCACATGTACTACATTTTCTTTATACATCAGCTGTTGTGAATCATGTCGCTGTAACTGTGGGTATGCAAGTGTCTCTGAGTACACTCACCTGGAGTCTCCCAGGTGTAAATCTAAGAGCAGTAGAGCTGGGTCCTATAGCAGCTCTGTTTTCAGGGACTTCCATACTGATTTCCACCTGTAGTGAATAAGGTTCCCCTTTCCCACATGGTCACCAGCATAGTCATTTAGTAGGTAAGGTGGAATCTCACCATAATAGGTTTTTATGCATTCACCTCTAGTTGTATACCACGGTCTGTATGTCCATCCATCTATGATTATCAAATATGTTCATTGAAAACCTTCCTCAGCAGAAGGAGCAGTTTTGCTTTCAGAGTCGTATCTTTAGGTCCTGCTCTGGCAGTGGTGGACTAGGCCTCACTATAAGAACCGCTAGACAGCATTTCAAACAGAGTCACAGACGAGGTAAAGGCGCGGGAACGCCGCTGGGTGTGGAGAGGAAGAGGAAGCAAAGATGCCCAGATGTGAGCCCACAAGCTAGAGGTGCTTCCCTGGCCCACTTGAGTGCCTTGAAACTAGAGTCCTGCTTTATGGCTCAGCGTGTCATCAGGGTTGTAAACAGTACTCTTGAAAAGTGTATTCTGTGCTTGCTTCAGCAGCACATATACTAACATCGGATCGATACAGAGAAGATTGATTAGCATGGTCCCTGCACACACAAGTATCACATTTGTTAGCTGGATTGTTCAGATCACCAGTGTTCAGACTGACACTTGCGATTACCTCAAGAGATAAACAGAGATCACACAAAACCATTAAAAATTGAGGATATCAGGGGCACGTGAAGATGACTCGGTGGGCAGAGGCCTTGCTGCACAAATATAAGGACATAAGTTCAGATCCCCAGCACCTAATAAAAACTGAGCATGGTTGTACACCTATAACCTTGGTGTCTGGAGACAGACAGATCCTGGGGTGACACTGTGAATGCACACCTGTGTGTATGCCACAAACAAGAAAGGAGGATGTGGAAGAAAGGACATGCGCACTGATGCTGAGACTGGATTAGAGAGAAAACAGCCCACAGGAACTCTTTAAAAAAATTAAAATATAGGGGGCTGAACTGATGGCTTAGTGGTAAAAAGCACTGGCTGCTCTTCCAGAGGACCTGGGTTTTATTCCCAGCTCCCACATGACAGCACAACTGTTTGTAACTCCAGTTCCAGGGCATCTGACACCCTTACACAGACATAAATGCAGAACACTGGTTTTATTCCATGTCCATAAATGCACATGGAATAAAAGTGAGTCACTCTTTTTAAATTAAAAACTTAAAGAGTACAATTTCATAAATCCATGTAACTTTTGCATAAAAATCTAGAGGAACTGAAATCATTATTTCAAAAAGGCATCTGCATTTGTGTTTATGCCATAGCATTAATTCACAAAACCAGGGAACCCACCCAGATGTTGGCTGAGGAATGAATAGAGGCCATGAGTGGAGTATTTACTATTCAGCTAGAAGAAAGGAGACCCTGCCCACTTGGTAAAGCATGAGCAAAATAACCTAGACAGAGAGGACAAATGCCACAGCACAGAACAGTGGTTGCCAGAGGGAAGGAGTGTGGAGAGTGCTGATTTGGGAGACACTGGCAAATGGTTCAGATTATAGTTTAAGATGAATTACAGTCCTGGAGACTTAACGTACAGAAACAGTAACATGCTTGAAATCTGTGAGTTTGAAATCTGCTATGACATCAGGAAGAAGGGGAATAATTGTGTGAGTGATGGATATGTTAACTAGTTTAATTGTAGTGAGTGATGGTGTTTATACTTCATATGAAAGTTGTTCCTTGTCACTCATCTCAATAAAGCTGGAAGCATGCTTTTCAGAAATACTTAGATCTAAAAATTTTCAGTTAGTTGTTATCTTAGGGTTTTATTGCTATGAAGAGACACCATGACACCTGTTGTAAAGGAAAACATTTCATTGGGGCTGGCTTGCAGTTTCAGAGGTTTAGTCCATTATTGTCATGGTGGGAAGCATGGCAGCATGCAGGCAGACATGGTGCTGGAGAGGAGCTGAGAGCTCTGCATCTTGATGCACAGATAGCAGGAGGCTGCCATACTGGGCACAGCTTGAATATGCAAGACTTCAGTCTGCCTCCACAGTGACATACCTCCTCCAACAAGGCCACGCCTCATAATAGTACCACTCCTTATGGGCCAAGCGTTGGAACGCATGATTCTGTGGGGGCCATTCCTATTCGAACCACCACACGGTAATCCCATTTTTGTATGCAGATATACTATAGCTGTAGATGCACAAATTAGGAAAGGAGAGGGGCTGAAATAATTTTTTTTTTTTTTTTTTTTTTGCCAGGCAGTGGTGGCTTATGCCTGTAATCCCAGCACTTGGGAAGCAGAGGCAGGTGGATCTCAGTTAGCTTGAGGCCAGCCTGGTCTACAAAGTGAGTTCTAGGACAGCCAGAGCTGTTACACAGAGAAGCCCTGTCTCAAAAAAGAAAAAACAAACAAATAGACAAAATTACTTATTTAATGTGTATGGTTGTTTTGCCTGCATGTATGTCTGTGCACCGGGGCTGTGCCTGGTGCCCGGGGAAGGGCAGAAGAGGACACAACAGATCCTTTGGGACTGAAGTAGTTGTGAGCCACCTTGTGGGTGTTGGGAATCAAACTGGGGTCCTCTGGAAGAGCAGGCAGTGCTCTCTCCAGCCTCCTGGAGTATCTTTAAAAGTTGGAGAAAGTACAACAATTAGATTCACAAAAGGCAAAACACTGGAAATTGTTTTTTTGTTTTGTTTTGTTTTTCGAGACAGGGTTTCTCTGTATTGTTTTGAAGGCTGTCCTGGAACTTGCTGTGTAGACCAGGCTGACCTCGAACTCACAGAGATCCGCCTGCCTCTGCCTCCCGAGTGCTGGGATTAGAAGAAAAAAATTTATTTTTAAAAAAAGAAAGTGCATAGTTGGAAAGGTTGGCTGTTGAGAGGACTCACAATGTTGGTCATCCTCCGACCTGAAACAGGAACGGCATGTTGCTCCTTGTCATCTTGTCTGCCACATTCCCACTGTTGGTGAAATACCTTCTGCATGTGTGGCTTGCATTCCTTCCATGCTGGCAGATTTGACCTAGCAGAGAGCCACTTTGATGGCTGCATTAAAACATGCTTGTCTTTGAAAGATGTGTGTCCTTTTAAGTCCATGTTAATAGTAAGGAATGTTGAGTAATGCTGTGATTGATTATTTTGCTAATATCTTTTGTGTTGTAGGTGGTGTCGGATTTGACATTAACTGTGGTGTCCGCTTGCTAAGAACCAATTTAGATGAGAGCGATGTGCAGCCTGTGAAGGAACAACTTGCCCAAGCTATGTTTGACCACATTCCTGTTGGGGTGGGGTCCAAAGGTGTCATCCCAATGAATGCCAAGTAAGAGCACAGGGTTCTGGTAAACAAAAAGGAAGAGGGAAACCACGGCTGGGCTTTGCTTCCAATTTAGACCCTGGCTCAGTCACTTGTTAGGATGTACAGCTTGATTGCTTTCGTCAGCTCTAGCCCGTGTCCATTAGAACAGTCCTTGGGCCGGGCGGTGGTGGCGCACGCCTTTCATCCCAGCACTCGGGAGGCAGAGGCAGGCGGATCTCTGTGAGCTCGAGGCCGGGCTGACCGACAGCCTCCGAAACAATACAGAGAAACCCTGTCTCTCGAACAGTCCTTGGGCTAGGCTTGGTGACATACGCCTGTAGTCCCAGCCTCTCTGGAGCTGACATGGAACAGTCCTTGAGCTAGGCTTGGTGACATACGCCTGTAGTCCCAGCCTCTCTGGAGCTGACATGGAACAGTCCTTGGGCTAGGCTTGGTGACATACACCTGTAGTCCTGGCCTAAAGGGGGGCTTACATGGTAGGGTCATTTTAACCCAGGAGTTTAAAGCTATTCTGGGAAGCATATAAAACTCTGTGCCTAAAATTTAAAGAGACAGCATGCAGCCGGAAAGATGACTCTAGTGGCCGAGGATCTGATTCCCAGCACCTATGTAGCAGCTCTCAGCCATCTGTAACTCCAGTCCCAGGGCAGCTGACACCTTGTTCTGATCTCTGCAGATGCACAGACGTATGTTGGAGCAGAACTCCCATATACATAAAGCTTATGAAAAAAGAGGAGCAGTCCTGATGTAGAATATTTTAGAATGATGGCACTTTGTAAGCATGAGGCACTGTGCCCAGTACTTCATCAGATGATGACCACTGCTGAAGATAGTAAACTAAGGGAAAGAAGCGACAGGAGGTTAAGATTGGTAAATGATACCAGGCTTCAGACTGAGGATCTTTCGCCTTGCAGACGGGCTATGTACCTCTCAATGAAGTCACTCATCTACAATCTTCTTTTTGAATGGTATCACTGAATGTGTGCTTTATTTAGCTAAGTAGTGCGATAATACCATGCTACAGTGTTCCTGTCTCTTGGGGACATAGTGACAGTGCTGTACTGCTCATGCAAACCAGTACACCTTACACTCGGCAGGGTCTTCTTTACCCTAAACTTGTGGCCCCATGCCTCCGCCTCCCAGATACTAGGGTGGCAGGTGTATACCACCATACCTGGGTCAAATGTACTTACCAAGTGTAAGTCAAAGGTGTTCCTTTGACATCTGTATTGTATGAACTTTAAGTGTGTATGCATACATTAATGCAGAAATGCTGTTACCTGTTACACACTCCCTTCCACCAAAACAATAAAGAAAAACACATGAAGAAAAAGTAATTTAGGTGCTTATCCTGTGTTTTCGTATGACCCGTATGTCACCCACTGTGAAAAGCACACATGTAGCAATGAGTGATTGGACATGAAGCATCTTTACAAATACTTCAGATAAAGTTTTATCCTAATTCATTTTGTTTGTAAAGGATTGTCATCTAGGGTAGTGAGGAAGGGAGTTATCTCTTCTGCTGTGTGAGAGCCTGCCCCTTGGGGAATGGTGGAGCATCCTCTCTGTAAACATTTAGTGTTTGTGCCCTACAGCTTCAAAGCGCAGGTGCAGCAAAGCCACACAATGCTTTGCTGAAGATACACCTTAAAATGTAACCTGTGTCACTTGAGGAAATTCAGATACCATTATCATTTGACTAATTTTTCATAAGTTATTAATAAAGACATTAATCTGGTTAAAATTACAGCTTTTCTGTGGCCATTTATTTGCTTCCTTATGGAATTCAGAATCCGAGAGGCAGATGTAATATAAAAGAAAATAATAATTGAAAAATACATCACCTGGGCCGATGATGTATGTGTCAGTTGGTAGAGTACTTACTTAGTATGCGTGGAAACTGAGCATGGTGGTACATGCTCTGTCTACACTTGCGAGACAGAGACAGGAGTTTCTGAAGTTAAGGTCGTCTTTGGCCACATAGTGAGTTCAAGGCCAGCCTGAACTACATTAGAACCTGTTTTGGTTGGCTGGTTTGTTTGTTAAGTACAACAGACCATGTAAATGTCAAGCGGAACTGTAATCATGTTTATGACACCGTCTCCATTTTAAATAGTAATCGTTTATGTGACTACTTTCTTCAAAAACAAATAAAAAACACTAGAGAACATACACTAAACAAAACCTGGTATGCAGGAAATAGTAATTGCCGCGTATTCCTGTGTTCTTTGAGGTGAGTTTCTTCCTACCTTTGGATTGCCCTTTGCTGTGAAATGACTTGTATTTCCTTACTCACCCAGAGA